CCCTCCCTTCCTTTCTTCTCCCTCCCTTTTTCCCTCCCTGCCTCCCTTCCTTCCTTCCCCTCCCTATTTCCTTCCTCCCTCCCTTCCTTTCTTCTCCCTCCCTTTTTCCCTCCCTGCCTCCCTTCCTTCCTTCCCCTCCCTATTTCCTTCCTCCCTCCCTTCCTTTCTTCTCCCTCCCTTTTTCCCCTCCCTCCCTCTCTTCCTCAAATCCTTCCCTCTTAATAGTTCTTTACTCTGCAGCCTCCATGCCTGCTTCTCTTCCCCATTCTGAAAAGGGGACTTGAAACACCGATGAATATGGATTTCTTTATTTAAAACATTTATCTTCCCTTCCTTGTGCATTGCGTCCCCTGAGAATAGGCAAAATTAAAAATGCATCTGAATGCCACAAACAACATCAGTAGAGCAGCAAAAACAGGATTTTTTTAAAAAAAAACAAGCTTATTCTCCCAGAGTAAGAGGGACTGCACTACCGTTCAATGCTGTACAATTCCTGAGTGAATGAGATTGCATATATAGTGATCCTCGCTTAACGACCACTCGTACAGCAACTGGTCAAACCTACAACAGTGTGGAAAGGTGGATACTTATGGCCAGGCTTCATAATTACAGTAGGTCAGTCCCAGATTCCTTTCAGTCTTCATTTATAAATTCCTCCTTCATCGGCTTCCTACAAGCAAAATCGATGGGGAAACTGACTGGAGGTTTCAGAGGGCAACTGAGTGACGGTCTTGCTTAATGACCTATTGCGATTCGCTTAACAACTGTACCTGGAAGTTCTGTCATGAAGCAATATTGTCATGGGATGTTGCATGATAAGACCATGTTACCTAAGTGGTGCCATCCGTGGTGCTCTCTGAGCTTGGTGGTTTTCTTGCGGGCATTTCATTACCCAACTAGGTAACATCATCAGTCCCGTCATGTGCTGATGATGTTGCCTAGTTGGGCAATGAAATGTCTGCAAGTAAATAACCAAGCTCAGAGAGCACAAATCCTCCTCTTCCTCCCCCCTCCTCCTCCTTGCAAACCCTACTCCCTTCTAGCACTGATAGTGTTACATAGTTGGGTTGTGAAACATCTGCAAGAAAGCAACCAAGCTCAGAGAGTACCAAGGATCCCATACTCATTGTCCTCCTCCTCATCATCATCATCTTCCTTCTCCTCCTCCTCCTCCTTCTTCTCTTCCTTCTCCTCCTTCTCCTCCTCCTCTTCTTCATCTTCCTTCTGCTCCTCCTCCTGCTTCTCCTGTTTCTCCTCCTCCTTCTTCTCTCCTTCTCTTCCTCCTCTTCCTCCTGCTCCTCCTCCTGCTCCTCCTCTTCTATTTGTGTTCTTTCCAGTTCTTCAATCCATATAATTCTGCTATTAAAACACCTGTTTCGATTAATATATGTTTATATATATTTACCTAGTCGCCCATTGTTAAGCTGTAACCTTCCACTGTTGTTCATACTTTTGTACCTATTTAGTAGTAGTACAGTCATTCAAAATCTATTTTTCCAAATTCTTCATATCCATTTATGTTAAAATGTCATCCAGATATCTATCACGCTGTTAAAATAATAATCCAACCTGTAGAGTTCTTCTGACACTCCATTAAAAGGAAAGTACCGTTTTCTTGCTTGATGTCACCTCTGTGCTCAGAAAAGGGACGTTGATAAGTTTCTGATTTTTGATCCCAGGCCTTGACCAAATTCTTGAAGTGTGTCAACTGGGGTCTTCCTCAAGAAGCAAAACAAGCTCTGGAACTCCTGGGCAAATGGAAGCCGATGGATGTGGAGGACTCCCTGGAGCTCCTCTCCTCACAGTTCACTAACCCGACCGTCCGCCGCTACGCTGTGGCCAGATTGCAGCAAGCAGATGATGAGGTAAGAGAATGACAGAGTGGGAAGGGACCTTAGAGGTCTTCTAGTCTGTCTGTCTGTCTATATCTTTCTTTCTTTCATCCATCCATCCATCCATCCATCCATCCATCCATCCATCCATCC